GGGGCCATCCGCACAGCGCAGCCCCTCTCCTCTTACCCGTGCTGGGACAGAGCCTGCCCCCAGCCCAACACCCACTGGTTCAACTTTTGTGGCCATTTTTGGCTTGGCGATGCTTTCCCCTCCCCTTTTATCAGTGCTAGAGCTGTATTTTGCAATGACCTGTTCCCTTTTGCCTCCAAAGCGCCACACCAACTGATGTTTGCAGGTGCAGATTGACTTTCTTTCAATGCATTCTTGCATGCTAGAATGTCCCTGTGCTAGGTATAGCCACGCTTTGTATCCAAATACACCAATCGTTTCTGTTTAGTTCACTGACAGCTTCTTTTTAAAAAACACTGGTAACTATAAAACCAGGCACGTTCAGGTCAGTGTCATTGAACCAACCAGAAAAGTAACACTGAAAAGATCTTGAAAGAATCCAGTGGGGTGCTGGCTGTAAGGAGAGAATTGTCAAGTGAGTTTCTGAGGCAGGTCTGTGAGAACCACAAAGAGGAGAGGCAGTGGAAAATAAGACTTTTGAGACCACTTTTATTCTTTCGGATTATTTTGTAGATGAAAAGCATAAATATGCAGTTCTCCTGCTGAAGTAAAAATCTTAACAACGGTATTAAGTATTTGCATAATTCAATAGCTTTTAAAGCTTCCAAAATTAGTTATTAGAAAGATGGATGTGAACATGGATTTCTTTACTTGTGATTATACATAGAAGCTCCTTTATGCTATGGTCTTTTCAGCCATGTGGTTAAAAGACAGTTACTACTAATCTGAACATCAACGTCTCTTAACACCTTGCAAAACAATTTGTCAGGAATATTGCAGGAAGAAAGAGAAAGGCAGCTCCAAAATCTGCAGCTGTACTGTTTCAAGCAGTGTAACTCCATCCCTTTGTGAGTTCCAAACCTGCCCAAGAGCTGAAAAAAAGCAGTTTTCAGGAACTATTTAGGCAGGAGAGGGTAGATCTAGACACCAGGATTCCTCTTGAAATATATTTATAGGCATTTCTGTATTTCACAAATGACCTGCTTCTGTGGTTGAAACACCATACGGATTATTTACGTACTCCTTCTTAGTATTTACTCCTACTGGGGGCATTCTGTAACAGAAGGGTTGTCAATCTGGATTAAAACTTGCTTTCTTTAGGGCTATAAATGAAGGCAATGAAGTATGCATGCAATAGACAGGAGTATGCAATAAACGGGAAGGAATGAAGGAGACCTATATTTATTGGATGGTAAGACTTTTCAGGAGCGCTGTTCTGAAACTGTGTTTAAATGTCACCTTGTTGACGGACCTGAAACTATCTCCCTGCCCACCAGCAGCACATGCCAAATCAGCTGACGGGCCGTGGATTGTTTTTGCAGGAACTGAGCCAGAGCTGGGCTCCTCTGGGCACCAGGCAGAGGCACACGATGCTGTGGGACAGCGCCGCGGGGGAGGCAGAGCATGGCTGGGTATGCAGTGTGGGGCTAACAAGGAAGGGAGTGGGCCAGGAGTACCTCACAGATTTTTTCCAAGTTTTTTTTTTTGTTCCTAGAATTGGCAAGACCCCAGGGTTGTCATTTAACCAGGATACCCTTGTATTTTGGTAAACTAATTCAGGACTAATAATTCTTTCAGTAGCTGCGTGCTCAGTGAACTGCTGCTGCAACCAATGAGAGCCCGAAGTACAGCAGAGCTGGCTGACAGGCATACGTGTACTTGCAAACGTGATCATCATCCATAACCTCTACGGCTGTCTGATTCAAGATCCAGGACTGGAATTAAGCTAAGCTATATATTGGGCCAGATCCTTACTTTACTCAGCTGGGGACATCCTGCGCAGACTTGAGAAGTCTTTAGTGGAACCCAGCATGATCCTGCTTAGTCCTGCAACATTTCTGACGTAGAGTTTGCATTGGCGGTGGTCTCTGAGTGAAACGGGAGCAGTGTGCTCGTTTTATCTTGGGACAGCTTGCACCAGGTATGGGTGTGGGGAGCATGTGAGGGCAAAGTGACTATCCTCCCGTGGCCTGGGCTGGTCCTTGGGGAGCACAAAGGTGAATTTCTGCAGGAGAGTGGTAAAGAAAAGAAAGAGCTCCATTCTGGCCAGCTGTTCCCCCAGACAAGCACGGCGACCTGCAAGAGAGGGAGTAGAAAGTGCCTGTGAAAGAGGACATGAAACCACGGTGGAGCACATCACCCCTCCTGCTGTGCCTCTGACTTGCAGCTGGATCCTCCCCTCAGATTTACCTGCTGAGAAAGGCAGGAAAGCCTCTGGTTTCACAAACTGCCCGTTTGCATCCAGGAAGTGTTCAGGGTAAAACTCGTTTGGCTTCTCCCAGACTGCCTCATCCTTCAGCACAGAAGACAAGTTGGTGATGATTGTCGTCCCCTGCACTCCTCCACAAGAGGAAAATTCTTATGTGAGAATGGCAGCATTACCTTGGCACAATGGATCAGTGCTGGTCCCTCTTTGGTCCATGTCTCCCATCTAATAGCAACCATCGTTCGGTGCTTCAGAATAAGGCACCAATCTCCTCTTCTGTATCTTATTTAAAACAGAGGTAAAGCAGGGTGCTTTTCCAGTAACTTGTGGTGCTTGCCCTATGCTCTGAAGCATCTGAACTTTTGCAATTTATATCCTTACAAAGGCCATTGCATGCGAATGCCAATTTCATGGTTACACAGTGGAAACAGACTCTGCTTCTCAGATCCTCCTGGACTTGTTTTGTTGTTGGAGAGAAAAAGCTGACTGACAGACTCTAAAGCCCAACTTTTCCAGGGGCCATGGGAAATTGCAAAGCTTTCCTGTTTCACATGTCAATGTTCTAAGCTGGAGGAGATATTGCGAGGCAAAAGAAAAATAAAATCCTAGGGCTTGCATTGCTACCAGTGCTGCCAGGGCAGAGTGCTCTTGCTGCCTCTCACAAAGGCAGTGGACTGAATGCCAGTGGCATTTGAATAGCTTCAGAGATTTGAGTTTTAACTACTACCATCTTAGGAAAGCCAGTAAGCTGGTGTCGTGTGCCTCCAGAGAGCCTGCTGGGCTCCATTATTTTCTCCTTTTAACACAGGCAGTGGATGCCACAGCTCAGCGAGAGGAAAGCAAATCTCTGCACTGAGCTGCCGCTGCAATTGGGTTCCCACATAACCAATGCAAATCCAGAGCACAAATGTGACCATCTTCCCGGATTTACCATTTCAAAACATCCTACTTCAGTGCTCGCCAGTGACTGTAATTTGGGGCTGGAAGTGCAACACTACAGAGTGGCGTGGGGTCACCCACACCCCAGGCCTGGTGTCTACACAGGGAGAGGATGCTGCATTGCCAATCTAGCCACGGTCACCTTGGGAATGAAGAAGCCTTGCAACTCGGTGTCCCGGTACGTCATGTGAGGGAGTCCAATGGGAACAACATCCCCGTAGCGTTGCACTTCATGGATCACAGCGTTGGTGTAGGGCATGCTCACTTGGTCCTTCATGGTGGGTGATCTCTCTCTGCCAATCACCTTATCAATCTCTGCTTGGACCTTACCTGAAAGTAGCACAGCTAAGGAATTAGAGCACCAGAATAAACAGAAGGGGCTGGTACCATCTGTAGGAAGGCTGGCAGCGTGAGATTGTAGACACTGGGCGAGAGCAGGACAAGCAATTAGTGAAAGGAACAGAAACTAGAGGGGAATGCATTTGTTTTCAGTTGCTCAGAGCCATCTGTGTAACTATTCTTTGTGCATAGTGTCTTTAATAAAGATCTTGTCACTCGACATGCCACCTTACCCCTCCTCCATGCAGCTGAAAGCATACCTGGGCATTAGAGAATTAAAAGAGATTAGCATCTATTCCAAATAGTGGAAAGAGGGTACTCTGGCCACTGGAAGTCCTCAGGTAGCCTTCAAAACGAAGGCGAGAGCAAACTTGCCCTTCCGACTCCAGTCTTTTTATCAGGGCTTCCCCCCCACCAGCCACCAGCCCCTGCCAGAACAGCTATGTTTAGCAAGTATTTCTCCTGGTTTCTGCTAGACCAACAATCACCAAAGCTGTTCCTCATTGCAAGATCCCCAAACCATGAAGAGAAGTCTCCTCGCAGAAAAATGAGGGTTAGAGGGAAGACGCCACACCTCTGCCTGTCTTCCTACTTACGCTGTATTTCCGGGTGGAGAAGCATGTACAGAATTGCCCACCGGAGAGTGGTGGAGGTGGTCTCAGAACCAGCTACAAACAAGTCTGCAGTCACCAGACGAAGGTTGTTATAGTTGAAGCCGCTCTCTTCAGCTGCCTTACCCTGTGCAGAGCAAACAAGTGGGTGACTGGAGCTGGGGTACTTGCTGGGCAAGAAGACCAGAGTTCCAGAGAAGTACTGACAAGCACTAGATCTTTTTTTGCTGACCAAGAAGCTCATTGGGAGAGTAGAGCACAACACAGGCAACGGTCTGTGTATGAGTGATGTACTTTGGTAACCCTGTTACCACCTGTATTTGAAGGTCATCAGTGACCTCCCATATCCTGAAAGATGAACGCTACACCTGCCTTCAGGATAGAAGTGAATGTCTTGTGCTCTCAACTCAAACAGACAGGAGGCCCCTGCCACTTCCTGTAACATCCTCCCCCAGAGGAGGTGGAACACAGTTACTCAGGTTTGATCAGATCATAAAACCCACACAGTAGAGAGGAGGCTGCATTGATGTGGCAAATGCAAAATTAACAGTATTTTGAGGGGGTTGTCTATAGCTGTGCATTACAGATTGTCCCTGCTTCTGCCCTGCTATTTTCTTACAATAAAAAAAAAAGATCAGGGTATCATTGCTGCCTATTAAGTCTGCAACACCAATTTCAGCAAAACTGGTCTCTCATCCAAATGCTAATTGAGCTCAAATTTGTTAGCATATGAGATATGACAAGCTCTCTGCATGAGTTCATCTGCTTGTCTTTTCTAATCCTCTTTATACTTTCTTTTCCTAGGGACTAGCTTCTGTTAAATTATTCTGTATATTTTGATGCTGTTGTAATATGGATAGCAATTAATAAAGCATTTAAGACTCGACTGTTGTTCCAATAGAAGATCTCTGCCAAGGGAGCTACAGGGCTGACCAAAGTTAACCCAGTAGAAGGATTTATCAGACTGGCTTATCAGGGGACCTTAGTGAACAGAAGAGAGATGTGACAAGAGGCAGCAGCTCACATCCACCCCCAAATGGTATCGCTCAGTGCAGAGTAACGTAGGTCACGTTGTTCTGCCCATGCAAGCTTGGGGGGGAACACATGGACTGGAGGTGCCCAGCTCCTGCAGTACAGCAAAGTTTGTTATGCACCGCCGCAGTCCAGCCTGAGTGAGGACTCAGATGGCGGAAGAAATTCACGGGCAGAATTTGCTACAATTGCTCATCTGGCATTTGAAATTTAGTGAATCCATGTGCAGAAACATATGGTGGATGGATGGGCTGATGCAAGTACCTTTGATTTTATACTGACTTCATGGCTGACTAAGTCACAGGAAAGACTCCTTTTAATTTCAGTGAAGTTCAAATTTAGGCCTTCATCTGATCTGTAGGGAACAAGTTCTTAGCAAGCAATTCGAAGACACATTCCAAAGGGGATGCCGTCTTTCCAAGTCATAACTTGGTTTAAAGACAGGCTACAGACTGGGCAGTGGTACCAAAAAGCCAGTCTGTTGTGGCAGTTTTGTCGTTGGTTTTGGGACATCAGTCATTAAAGGCACTGACATACACATGTTGACTTGTACCCTGGCACAAACTTAGCAATATTAGTGAATTCTCAGTCATTGCCTTTTAAATGCCTTCAAAATGGTCTAGGCTGGAAAGAAGGGAGTTGCTGGACACTGAGGGGAACGTGAAAGTAGAAAATGGGAACAAGAACATCAGCAGATAATATGGTCTCTTAAGACAATAGAGGAGGTTACAGCATGAAGAAGTTAACACATTTCTTCTCAAGATACAATGTGGAATGAAAAAGTAGGAAATTAGTAAGAGGTTTTATGCAGCTTTATGAGGAAAGTAAGCTTCTATCAACAAGATTAAACAGGCAGAGGAATTTCCCCTGGACCCTGAGGTTCTGCTGGTGTCACCCTACCTTCTCCATTTCCTTTAAAAACGCATCAGTGAAATCTCGGGTGTAAGCAGGGTTCCAGGTCTGCATGTGCTTATCTATGAGCACGTCTATGAAGTCCATGAACGCCTTTTGCCCTTGAAAGGCTTTCTGTGGCACGCCGGGGATGTGCAATAAAAAGGGCGCCACGTTAAGAAGCTGGGATGCCAGAACCAGAGAAAGAGAGAGAGAGAAGATATTATGTGATGCAAAAAGAAAAATAATGAAAACACAATGTTCTCAAGCAACAGAGGGCAGTTTCTTACAAACATATTACGCTCTTGGTTTACCTGAGGCAGGAATCCAGCTTCTTCATTCAGGGAGTTTTCAAACAAATGTAACAGCTTCTTGAATGTCTCATCACCGTAGCTGAAACGCTCTCCATAGACGGTGATGCAGATCACGTTGCAGACTGCATTATTTACAAGAAAACGTAAATCGAAAGGACGACCTAAAAATGGAAATGGAGACCAAGCAATGAAGCTAAGAAACACCAAGCTGTTGGATCTCAGCTGTCAGCAACAAGAATACACAAATACCTCCTTGATCCCCAAACAGCTTAAAGTACAAATGCATGGTACTAGGAGTGGAGATCTCATCTCCTACTACTATTTGGTTGAACCTTGTTTAAAGGAGGAAA